AACGAAAAGACATAAAAGCAGCTTCGTAATAAATGCGATTGATATGCTTAACAAATTGTAGAGGTGTTTTCTCAGATATATACTAGGGGTCTCATGAATTTTTCATGAATTTTTCATAATGATTTTTTATTTTATTTATTTATTTTATCTGTCCTTATGTGTAGTGTGATGTTCTGTGTTGTGTGTTGTTTTTTGTACTGGATGCCATAGAATGTCATTGCACTGTAAAACAAATTTACCTACGGGTATAAATAAAGTAAACAAACAAACAAACAAACAAAACAAAGGTGGAGGTAGGTAGTCAGGTGAAGTAAAAGAACAAATCAATCAGAATTACAGCTAAGGATTTTGACATAAACCGCTGACATCTCTTTTGGCCTCATCTATGTGGAGACATTTTAATACAGTATTCCAAAGAAGACGTGGTTTAAGTGTGTGAAATACAACAAATGGGCCTGCGATGTTTGCACCTCAGGCCAGGCAATTTCTGTGTGCCAGAACTGTGACTCTAAACACGTCTGATTAGTCAGATACATATGTACGTTGTACAGAAATACAGAAATGCAAAATTAGTTTCATTAGTGTGTTTAAACACCACATCTGTTTAGTTAAGAAGTTGCCAACATTTGTGTTTTGATTTAAATTATTTATTTTCCAAATTCTCTAGGCTTGATTGTTGATTGATTATATTTGTAGTTCTGGTTACAATTTGAAATAAGCATTTACAAGTTTCTAACTGTGTGATAATCCAGTGTGACAACTTACCTGCCGATGGGGCAAACTGTCACAAGTGCACACTCTCTATTAACAGTCTACAACTCCACAATGAGATAAGATATGAAGATGTGATGGATACAAAACTTCTGCCCAAGACTCCATTCTTTAATTTGGTATGACATTTGTACCATTGTGAAGTAAGGTGCCCATTAAATGTTAAACAGTGTGAAAAGTGTGACAACATACCCCGCTCTCCCCTACCTCAAACTGCAATTGAGGTAATTTGTTTAACTTTGTAAGTACTTTTTCATACCATGAGGATTAAGTGCTATGTAAGAAGCTTCCATTGGATTGAATGGGTGCCATCTTGGAATATGGTGTCCAATTCTCAAAATACATCCATGCGATGAGGTCCTGATAAATGTGCATCGTGACTGTCCTACTTAAAACCATTTGGGACTTAAGTTAAATCAATCATAAACTGAATGTTTTAGGTCTTTTTGCTCCAGAAGAAACTCTGTTTTTTTGTGCTGTAAAAACATCTAGTGGTTTCCCTCCAAACGTGACCTGGTGAAACGCACATACAGTTCACACACACACAGTGAAAGTGTATGACCAACACATCCTCATATAGAAACGACAAAAAAGGTAGATACTTGATGTCTCCAAAACAACCTATATGAGTGTTTTTAATGACTCCCAAAACGACATATATGAGCGTTTTCTCCAAAACGACATATATGAGTGTTTTTAATAACTCCCAAAACGACATATGAGTGTTTTTAATAACTCCCAAAATGACATATATGAGCGTTTTCTCCAAAACGACATATATGAACGTTTTCTCCAAAACGACATATATGAGTGTTTTTAATAACTACCAAAACGACATATATGAGTGTTTTTAATAACTCCCAAAATGACATATATGAGTGTTTTCTCCAAAACGACATATATGAGTGTTTTTAATGACTCCCAAAACTCATTCTGTTCCCCATTGCAACACAAGGAGGATGACCGATATGCGTAGCCCCTGTAATGGTTAGGGTTAAGGTAAGGGGCTTCAGGGGGCTGTCAATGTCTAAAACACTAGCTAATTAAAACATAGTTAGCTAATGCTAGTGATAATGGTAGCTAATGCCTCAAAAAAAACGCTTATGCTATCTAGCTAAGGCTACATGAAATGCTACAAAACGCTACTTAAAACACAAAAAATGAACACCACAAAACACAAAAAACACACATTGCTAACACTAGCTAGCTATCGCTAACAATACTACTACTTGTTTCACACAGGAACCAATCTCCAGTCTCCTGGGTGAAGGTCGCTTAAATAACTAACCATCCAACTACCCACCACCTCCAAAAGAAGATTTGTGGTTATTTATATCCTACATCTGATGTTTTTTCACATGCACTTCATCACACAGCTGCAAGAGGCCGCTCATAACATAAAATTCGGTCATTTTAAGCCCTTAAACTATTGACCTATGTTGTCATTTTCTGGGTGAGGACAGGCTGTGTATGACAGGCTTTATAACATTGGCTTTATTGTAACAAGTGTAGGCAAGACAACTTTTAAAAACAGATTAAAACACTATATAGCGTTAGAATCTGAATAGAACATCACCACTCGTCAGTATTTTATTTTGTGCTTTTTTTATTTTTTTTTTATTTTTTTTACGTTAGATGCTAAACAACAGAGACACCCGCTGCATTAATGTCATCACTGTGTCGTTATCTGACACTTTACAGTCATTCTGACAGAAGATGAGAAGGCCTCAATCTGACAGCATTGTATATCTGTAATTACTGCATTTTCTGACTCTTTTATCTCAGGAGTTATCTTTGATGGGGATTGATGGACTGGATTGTGAGAGAAAATAGCAGCTGAGACAAAGGTTTTATTTTCCTTCATTATTCACCATCTGTCTTCAGCCAATTTTCTGCCTCTGCATGAAGCCTGCTGATGTAAAGCTCTGCAGACTGTAGTTACCACTACAGGGATGGAGTGTGTGTGTGTGTGCGTGTGTGTGTGTTGTAGGGGTTCTGATTCGCTCCACGTACTAAAGGTCAGATATTAATATTTCTGACAGACAGAAAGACAGACCTAGATTTGCAAGAGTTTTCAAATAAAAACAAACAAAAATAGAAATGTCAGAATGCATCACTTGTGCCACCACACTGCAGATGTAAGGCAGAGAAATTGTGTCTGTGTGATTGTGTTCTATATCCAGCACGTTGTATGTGTTCTTTGTCATGTTGCTCTGTACCTCCACTAATGAAATGGAAATGATGGAAATGAACTGGTTTCTCAGTCTCTGTAGATCTCTCTTGATTATGAAGTTACTTTTAAGCAGAGGTGGGACCAAGTTGTTATTTTACAAGTCACACGTAAGTCTCAAGTCTTAGCACTCAAGTCCCAAGTCAAGTCCCAAGTCCGGATGGATCAAGAACGTCAAGTCAGAGTCAAGTCCCAAGTCAAGTCCAAAGTCCTAAACTTTGAGTTTCGAGTCCTAAACAATTCATACTTGCGCTCTGCACTAAAACGATTTTCAACAAAAGTTAAAAATGAAAAAACTTTATTTAATAAAGTGTTAACCTGTACAGAATAAAGGCAGAGGTGCAGTTTCACACAACAAATGTCCTATAATTTCATGAATTAAAATTAAATTTTCATGTAGGGCTGCTCAATTATGGCAAAAATCATAATTACAATTATTTTGGTTAATACTGATATATATATTATTAGTTCATCTTTGATTATGTCTCAATGAAGTGACTGATCATTTAGTGAAAAAAATACTATAAAAATGCCCATGACAAGATGTCGTCAACAGTCCAAAACCCTAAGATAAGCTGGAGCCAGAGAAAGATTCTTGATGATATTTTTGCTTGATGACTGAAATAATGAACCTATTATCAAAATAGTTTGCAATAGATTTTCTGTTCGATTGACTAATTAATCTACTGATTGTTTAAGTATTAACGTGTTGTGCTGACAGTCACACATCTACCTGTTATTTCAGGTTAAAACCAACCCGGCCTTTAACGCACTGGGTACTCCTTAATTAATTAAATTTCTTCCACGGAGCCAGAAATGGTGCTAAAGGGGTACCCAGTGCGTTTAAAAAGTGACACCAAGGGGTCTTGACCAAGCATCCATATTTGACTACTTGAGAGTGAGAAAGGGTTGAAACTGCACTAACAGTTGTTTTTGTTGTCCACTTGGGTTCAGTGGACACAAGTATGGTAAACACAACGTATAAGCACCTTTTAAGTCGATAATGGTGAACTTAGCAAACAGTAGCCTATATACACGACCAGCTGTTACAGAGCAACATCCTTCATTTGGAGTCACATTTGTGTCAACTGGTGCATGTACACCAGCTAGCCTCTAACTGTGTCTGCTGTCAAACTACAGTTTTCTGCAGCTATGGGAGCTGCAGACTCATCTGATAGTTCCCTGTAGGTACACTCTTGTATCACTACAAGAGACCCCTGTTGTCACGTTTTTTTTACATTCATTTGATATATTGTTATTGTGATCCTTTTGGTTTCTGTTGGTTTATTGGTCCTTTGCACGTACAAGAGCGGAGTCAATTTTGCGCTATTCTGGAGACATGAGATCACATTGTGAAACACATCCACCAACCTGTGTCAAAATCCTAACCCAGTCAGAAATTTGGGTACTAATTCCCACAATGTGGGAGTGTTGCAACCCCACATCTACAGACCAACTAATCAGAATTCAGCATATCACTGCTGCATCGCCTCATGTGAGTGTCAGCTGATGTAGTTCACCTGGTCAGCTTCGCCCTCCAGGTTATAAAGGCTGGTCCATCAGTAGATGTCCACTGAGTTTTTTGTTTTGACTCAATCCTACTGCTGCTGTAAATACACTGAAAATAGTCCCCAACAAATGAAACATTTGTTGGTGTGGCTGTGGCTCAGGAGCGTTGGCTGTTAATTGGCAGGTTGGCGGTTCAATCCCTGGTTGTGTGTCAAAGTGTCCTTGGGCAAGACACTAAACCCCGATTTGCCCCTGGCGGCTGTTCCGCCAGTGTGTGAATGTTAGTTACTAAAAGGAAATAGCTAAGCTGTTTTTAAAAATGAAACTTTTTTAATTATTTATTTCTTCACTAGGAACCAATGGGTCTGGAGCTGAGGGCAACAGACAGGAAGTCAGAAAGTATTGAGAGGTGGACCAATTATATTTGTTGTGGTGTTTGATTATTTTTGTTTTTTCTAGCTTGTAAAGTAACTTGCACAAAATCCTCAAGTTTCAGTCAATTTCTTACATTTTATTACTGTTGCACCATTTATACAAGTACATATAATTTTGAATGCATCAATTTCCATATCATCTTTTTGTTTGTTTTGAATGAACATGTGGTGTGGAAATAGCAGTGGTGACACATGGGATGAAAATATCAACTGTAGTTGCCATGGATGCAGACTGAGAAATAATTTTTTTTCCACTTGACCAAAAAGACAGGACTACAGGTTCACCCAACCACAGACATGCAATTTACTGAGTCAAGAGAGGAAGAAAAACTGAACCAAGTGACACACAACGCTCCTCGAGTGTTTGTTTCTGCTACGGTTTGACAAGTGCTGAGAAGAAAACGCTGTGTGTCAGCTGGATGAAACTGAAAAGTTGGCAAATGGATGGCTGAGATGGGTAAATATACATATATACTAACATATATGCAAAGGTGGAAATTACAAAAGTACATTTACTCAAGCACTGTAATTAAGTACAATTTTGGGGTGGTGGTGCCTTACTCGACTGTAAGATTATGAAATACCAGATATTTCTTGTCCTTCAATCTTTGCTTATCCCTTTCCTTTCTCGTTTAATTCTTTCCTCCCTTCAATTTTTCTTCATTCACTCTTTCCTTGTTTCTATATCGCTGCTCTTTCTTTCAAACTGTCATTACTTTCCTCCTTTTCTTTTTTCAGCTCATTTAATCACCAAAACTGCACATGGAAAGTTTCTTCTTAACTATTAGTACTTTTTTACAGCTAATTTCTTTCTTCTTCTTTTCTTCTTTTGTAGGTGATTTGTCTTACACCACTGCATATATGTACTGTACATATATATAATATATATTTCTGAAAAATAAAGGAAAATGCATGAGAGGTGAAAATGACGAAATCAGAAGCTCCCTTTTCATGTGCAAGGCTTTTCCATCCCATAATGATAGTATGTCGTATGGTTGCCATAGAAACATGGACCATACTAGATTGAGTTGGTTGGTGACAGCTCTGTTCGTTCATTGAAATCCCCCCTCCTGTCCTCAAGGTGATCGGACCAATCCAAATAACTGAGAGTCACAGAGTTACAAGGATCAAATGCAGGAAAACAGACCTGGTCGAAGCAGCACCTGCAAAAGACCTCATCTTTGTGAGTGTTTTAATCTGCTTAGATACCAAAGTGGTGAGGTTTGCTTCAAACCACAGACTGCTTTACTGATGTTCCTCCTATAATCATAAATAACTTGCACTGCATATGCAAATTTTAATTCAATCTACTGGTTGAAGAGTGTTTATTATTAATTATTTTGCCACATTTTTTAGCATATTTCATCTATTGCACCACATTCCATCAATATACTTTTACAATATACTTATGCTTTGTAAGTATATTTTGCTGCTAATACTTAACTTAAATATACAGTATATCTAACTATGTGGTATGCCACTTTTAATTAGGGAAGTGAAGGAAATGAGTTGGGAAGTGGGGGACCACTTCCAGCAACGCAGTCATGCAGACAATCAAAGAAAAGAGCTTAAGAGCCAGTTTATTCTATTTTCTTTTGAGAGACTCAACTGTAGCAATGCTATCTGAACTCTCCTGATGATACAGTAAATGCCACTAACTTGGTATTCTAAGCAAGATCAAATTATCTCTACGATGTGATCGTGAAGCCTATTTCACCCGGGTCAGCAGCAGATATGTCTTTTGAAATAGAATTTGTCATCAGATTTGGATGGAGGATCAGATGTCCATCAGACTTTCAAAGAACACTGCTGAGATTTTTTCAGCAAGGCTTTGCAGATTTTATAAGCATATTACAAATGTTAAAAAAACCACTTAGTTCACTCACAATATACCTAAGGGTTTCAGTACAAAATCTAGAGGTTTATCTGAAAAATTCCTACGACTGTTTTATATGTCTAAGAATGTGTTTTGCTCTGCAATGTCAGCCTTTTTCAACCTCTGAAATGTCTTAGAAAGCCTGAACTTTCTCTGTCCCCACAATAAATTTTAAAGTTCTAGTCAGTTTTTGCCATTCAGAGAAAGTGGCGTGTAACCAAAAGAGGAAAAAGGGTAGCGACACAACCCAACCATATCAAAAAGCCGGGGGGGGGGGTTTAAAAAAGGATACAACCACAATTCCACGGCACCAAAATACTGGAGGTACCAGGCCAAAGCCAAGAACACGGTACTCTAAAGGGGAGGATGAGTGGAAGGAGGGGAGCTGAAGAGTGGACAGAGTCCAGCTGGTTACATAGTATCTTAAGCCCCCCTTCCCCACTCCCCTCCCTCCCATTTCCCCCAAATTTTGATATTCTGACATCCACAGAGCAGAGGGTGCATGTGAATGTATGAGCACAGGCCTTTTGTGGGCTGAGATGGGAGTCAGGTTAAACCTCTTGACTGTATGAGGGAGAGGGATGATGGATGCGGAATGGCAAGGCGTATGGCTGACACAAACTCGTATCAAAGTTCAAATACTACAGCAGAAAAAATAAAAACATAACAATAATAATAGCAATAATCATCTGCAACGGTGGGAAACATCTCCAGGTGGTTGCTCCAGTCCTCCTCATTCAACAAATCGTCATGATTACAATTATTATTATTATTATTTTTATTATTATTATTATCATCATCATAATATGGGTGGGCTAGTTAATTTCATTTTGATTTTTTTAAATCTTAATCGTCGTTGAGTTAGGTACTTTATTTTTCATTTCCGAAAAGAAGCTGTCCATTAATCTTGAACTGCTACGGTTTGATCCTTGCTCGGTGCCTCTGTGGCGTTCGCCTCCTTGGCAGGAGGCTCAGCGGCTGGTGTTGAACTAGGGGCTGCGGCGGCCTCCTTTGCCGGTGCGGGAGCCGCCGCTGCCGCCTCTGTGGACTTGGGGTCAGGAGAGGCAGCAGGGGCTGCCTCGGCTTTGGCTTCTGGTGCCGCGGGGGCCTCAGTCTTTTTGGCGTCGGCCTCATCTTTACTCTCAGCAGCCGGGGCAGGCGCTGCGGCCTTAGCCTCAGGCTCCTTGGCGGCAGGGGCCGATTCTTTGGCCGGGGCGGGCGCAGCTGGTTTCTCCTCAGCCTTGTCGGGCTCTGCGCTTTTAGGCGCCTCTGTTTTCGGCTCAGCATTGGCAGCAGGTTTCTCTGGCTCCTTAGTGGCAGGAGCTGCGTCCTCTTTGGGCGCCGCAGCGTCTGCTGCTGGCGCCTCCTTGGCTGCCGTGTCGTTAGCTACCTCCTTACCATCGGTGGCAGCCGGGGCATCATCTTTGTTGTCTTTCGGTGCTTCGCTCTCCTCAGCAGAGGCCCCCTCTGCTTTGGCATCCTTGTCTTTGGCCTTGTCATCATTTACGTTGTATCCCTTCTTCTTTTTGCTGAGCTTGCCTCCCATTTTGGATCTCTGGCCTCTGAAACAGGAAACAAAAGTAAATAGTAATTCATTCATTCATTATGAAGAAAATGCAATAAGAGCACATTCTACACAAATAAACCGAACAATGACTCGAATGTAAGCAAGAACCACAAAATGAAGTGTCAAACACATCAGAAGCTCCTGATAGAAAATAATGAAATATCCCCACAATGACTTTGTGATGTTTCAAGCAGTTCTCCTCTTCAGAACATGATTTATGATGAAGGGCAATCTCACTTTGTGGTCAAAATGAATGATGGTATTTCACGAGCAGCCTCACGGTGTACAGACATTTCTGTATGAGGCAGCAAGTGCAGAATTTAACATGTCGGCATTAACTTTCATAAGGGAGCAGACCAAGAACAACAACAACAAAATGCTCATCAAAAAGCACCCAGAAATGATATGCAATAGTCATGCATTTATGGAGAAACATCTCTCATATTGCATTTTTGATGTATTATCTCAACCTGAACCACATGCGCCTCAGAGAACCTATGCAATGCTATTTTCCACTTCCAGATCAGGCAAAGCTTATTTTAACATGAGGAGAGGAAACAGTAAATCAAGTTCAATGTTACATAGAAGGACAACTGAAGAATGTAGTAATAATAGTTAGAATCAGTGATTCTGAAGCAAATAAAAAGAGAAATACTCAAATAATCCATCATCCTGGACTTCATTGACTCTCTCATCTAGTTTCTCACCTCTCAGATCAAGAACTAATAATTAAGAATACAATAAAGTGCTGAGATGCTAAGAGCAAGAGGAAATAAAAAAATATGTTGCTGAGACAATACAAAATAGCACTTTTTACATGCTATTAATGTAGTGATTTTTTCATAATTCCCATATACATCCTCAGTGAACAATCAGCACCTTCATTAGTGTGAAAGAGTTAAAATGACACTATTTGTAACAAATATAACTAACCTTTTTAATTTTTTTAAAGAAAGGGCCTTCTGCCTTTCAACATAATACACTGCTCATTCATTTTGTTAAAAGGAAACACTTAAATCACACATCAGATCTTGATGAACAAAATAGTTCTAAGTTCAAGATCTTTACTGTATATCGTATAATTCCCTGAGAACAAAATTATGTAACAACGGTCAGTGGAAACCAAAATCACCAACCAAGTGAGGGCTGGATTCAAAATCACACTGAAAATCAAAGTAAAAACTGAAATCACAGGCTGATCCAACCTGATGACTTTCATCTAGGCAACTCATAATGTGACTCAGCAGTGTGTTTGGTCCCCACGTCCCTCTATGTACTCCCGACAACTTCTGGCCATGCTCCTGATGAGACGGCGGATGGTGTCCTGGGCATCAGTGAGCTCCTGGAAAGTCTGTGGTGCTATTTGGTGGTAGCAGATGCACCAATACATAACGTCCCAGAGGTTCTCAATTAGATTCAGGTGTGGGGAATGTGAGGGCCACCAGCGTAAGATCTGATAGTGGCTCTGAGGATTTCATCCCAGTACAGCAGTCAGGGTACCATTGGCTTGCACGTGGATATCTGTGCAACCCTCCAATGATGTGCTTCCCCAGACCTTCACTGACACTTCATTTGGACCAAAACAGATGACACTGATTCACAATCACTTATGCTTCCTAACTGTACAGATTGATATCCCTGAAGTTTACTGACATGATGTTATACCGTGATGATTAAGTGGTTCCTTAATCGGTATAGTTTTTATCATCACCCCCTAATCCCCTCAGTGCTGAACTTCCAGGTGGGGAGTGACAAGGTCAGAGCTTTGATGCCATATACATTCTGTACATATATGCATTAACTTAAAAGTTCAATTCAACCAAATTATGAATAGATATTTGCCTTCTTACTCCTAGTGGCAATTAGCCATGAAGATAGTGTAGTTTTTCTTTGTCCAGATTTTGAGACCTCTCTCCTTGCAACCCAGGACGCATGACACAAACCCTGGTCACAGGTATCAACGTCCTAAGCTTAGCCTAACTATTCAAGCTAACCATCCCTCTGTGACATCTGTGTGGTACAAGAACATAACACTTCTGCAGTATGTAGGGGTGGTAATCTCTGGGCACCTCACGATTCGATTGCGATTCAGAGGGCTGCAATTCGATTATATAACAATTATTGATGCATCTTGATGCAACATTTTTTCTATACAGGATCCCTGGATAATTACTAAGCATTTCATTTGCACATTAAAATCCAAAAGAAACATCTCCTAATTAGCTTAAAAGCACTAGTTTGCATCCCTAATTTACTTTATTAACCTTAGCTCCATGTTCCCTCATTTCATTAAAAACCAAACTGAAAAATAATTATCAGGATGTACGACATGTATACAGGACAGAGCTGAACACCAGTTTAGTCTAAGCTTGTGCCTGATGTGTTCAGCCCTTGACTAGTAGTTTAGTTAGGAATGACATACAGCTGATAATTAATATTACTTTGTTACTAATTTAGGGAATGTTACATAAATAAATAAATATTTTAGCGTCTTTCATGGGGCCCAAGGACGCTTTACACATAGTTACAGAACAACAAACTCATTCAGGATTGAATGCCTGGGGAAAGAGCTGGGGCTGTGATGCTGAAGGCTCTGTCCCCAAAAGTCCAGAGTCTGGTGTGGGGGACAGAGAGCAGGGGAGATGTTAGCTAGCGCTAACAGCCTTCACTTTTCCAGCCGTTGGGGAAACTACAGACTTTTATTAATGGACACACAGCGACCTACGCTGCACGTTTACTGCCAGACTGGAACTTACTGCTAATATTTTTCCTCCGCTAACTTTCACCGTCACGTTCTGTTAAAATCATCACTTGCGCACTGATATTAACGATTGTGTGACATTTTAGTGTGGTGGTTATTCATTCTGCAGCGGTGGCAAATACAGGGGAACACTGGTCTCTCTGTTGTGCGCGCTCCGCAGACGGTCGGGCGCTGCATTTTCCGCGAGTTCCGCCTTTTTTTTCGTTCCGTCAACATTACATTATCAATTAACATTTAAATAATCGATTTTTAGACGTTTGTTAATCAATTCATCATCTTCCACGTCTGCATCGCGATGCATCTAAGAACTGATTATTTCTCCCACCCCTAGTAGCCATAGTGTTGATACCACCATGGTTAAATGAGAAAACCATTGTATCATCAACAAAGAATGATTTTCTTAGCAAACTGAATGGAATCCTGGGATCTGTAGAGGTCTGTGTAAAGAGACTCTGAAATTGCATTTCATATGATTAGGAGCTGCGGGTAAACAGTCAATGTGCAGGTAGATAGCACTGTGTGTAGGCAGGCTCAGCACACACACACACACACCTGCAGATTCCTGGCGTACCCCTTCAATTGAAGCATTTTTTCATGGATATCACCATCTGTCTGCTTGATGGGGGAGAGGACTTCAATACCACAACAAATCAGGCTTATTAGGAGCAAAGACTCAAGACTCAGTACAATTTGTTGTTTGAAATATGAAGTATGTTTGCTTGATGCTTAAAACTGCCAAAAGCAATTTGGCATTCAATACTACTCATTAGGAAATGCCAGAGAAAAATGTGCTGTTTATGTTTCAAATTCTGCCTCCAAATTCCAAACTGCTGCATTCACTGTAGAAAAAATAAAACCTCAAAACTAAAGATACGTTTTCCAACATTAGCAGTATTTACAAAGAAATACTTAAAATGTGTATTTACTGTCCCTAACACCCCTAACAATCTTAGTTAGACTAGACTTAGTCTAGAAAGCACCCACAGAGCACATACCTCTGCCTAAACACAATCCTTATAATTAGCTATTTTATACTATAAAGTGTGTTCAATCCACTCTTGGATTGGAAGCTGCATCTAAATGCGCAAAGTGACAGACAACCACTTGCCTTGTCAAAAATCTTTACAATATTCTGCTAACTAAACACACCCTCCTTGCTTTCTAAGTTTTAGTAAAGTAAATTGTGCATTCTGGGAAGAAAATGCTACATTTAAATATTAATCAATTCTTATTGTTGTTATTCTCCATGGTGTTTTCCCACATAAAATGAGTTATACATGTATGAGCAATAAAAATAACTTGAATAAGTCTGGTCCCCAGTCTCAGGGTCAACAAGCACACCATTATTTTGCTAGTTGGCAGGGCATCTCAAAGTGCAAACGTTATAAAATGGACAATATTTGTTCTCTTGGCCATTTAAAAACAGTTTCAAGCTATTGTAAAGGACTAAAAGAGTATTAAGTGAATGAAAACAGAGTAAAATGTAAAATCATCATATGAAAAGCATTTTTTTCAAATGTGGTGATTATTGTGAACTAACTTCACAACACCTTGAGATTATTCTCGGTTGACACTCAAAATCATCTGTTTGTTCTGCCATCTGTAAATGAGAAATCTGTCAAAATGTCTCCTGAAAGCAGACGTGACCTTTTCCTCTCAAACAAACCAGACCACTGAGAGATTCTGCTGGCTACTCACAAATTCGCCCTGTGAATGGGACAGAGCTGGTGGTGAATCCACTCAAAATGCTAATCACCTCGTCGCCACTGACTGAATTACTCGTCTATTCATGCAAAACTCCCCTGAAAGTCCAACAGTCGGTATCTGCCAGGGCCGCCGTTCCTGCCGCAGCTTTATACGGGCCACAATGGAGGTCTCTCTGCTGCATCACATCATTTGACTCCCAGCTTGTGCTGCCAGTACAATGACTCACAATCATCTGGGCAGACAATGGCTTCTTTTCAACCAAAGGCACGCTTTCTCGCTGCTGGGCGTGTGGTTTTAGTGTTTCAAGAGCTGGGGCAGGGCTGAGACAACCTGGAGAAAATGCTCTGGGTTGCACAAAAGACTTAATTTAACCTGCAAACTACAGTCAGTGAAGCACAAAAGGAAGTCTGATCTAACAGCTGTGAACTTCCAGCATCACTTCATTTGTACGATGGTATCAGTCCCGAGGAAAAAGACTAGTTTAGGTAGACGTATAGCTGACACTCCAACCCAAAGTAACTTAAATT